ATCATTAACTTCACCTAAACAATCATTAAAAATGAGAGATGTTTCGTTCTATTTTAAGACCTCTTATCAGTATTCATCTACAATCTCGTCAGGCATCTGATCTAGAATTCTCACATTTCACTGTTCGAGAGTTACCTTTGTACTTTGGAGACAGAAATTAATTGTTCATACTCCCAACCCAAATCAATTCACGATATCATACAATCGTAATGCGGTTCCATCGGTTAAGTTCGATTTCATTTAGTATCTGTGAGAAAAGTTCATTGGTGAACTCGATGAAGGTCTAAGAAGCTCAGGAAGAGCTGAAGATATCCCATCCAATCATCTTTAGGAAGAATATTCCAGAATCATTTCGTATAGCTTCCCTATTGGAAAAACGCTAATAACCCCCTATATGCAGATTGGAGGACTATAATGATGATTTCCTTTTTGCTAAAAATTATAAATACCTTACATTTTTTGTGTCATAATTGACACTGCTTGGAATAACATTCCTTTCACTTGTTTTCTGTCTTCTCATTTGCGACTTGTGAGAGTTCTAGCGTTCGAGTGCTCAAGTTATACGCAGCATATTAAGAATCTAAAGCTCTAGGCTTGAGAATTTATGAAATTCTAGAGAGAAACCATCACCATCGGAGATCAACTAGAGTAGACGTATGACAAATGAGATTACACAACAAATACACAATAGATTAAATTCAGACAACTTCAGAATTCAACTTTATAGGTCTGAAGGTAGTAACTTCGAGACCAGAATGTTCTTAGTTAGATTTCTCTCAAGTTTTTATATGTCCATTATTAAGAAGTCTCAAAATATTTTGATATAACTGTAATTTCCTTCTTGATTTTTTTGAGATTGTCCTGCTAAGATCTAATCGTGATATATATATCACAATTGATTGATTACTGGGTGGCGATCAATGCCATACGTGTCTAGTCCTTACTAGTGCAGATCGAATGCCATCGAACATGATGCAATGTGGCCACCAGTCTAGGTGACTCGACACTGCGTGCACTATATATTGAGATTCGATGGTGGTTGGAGGAAGTCGACAGGAGACCTCGGACTCGACCCGAATAGCTCAGTGGTAACGTCACTGACTGCGAAGCTGGGTGACTCGGGATCGAACCCGTCATGGAGCACCAGTTCCCTCAAGATTACAGGTACACCTTGCTGACGAGTGCCAAGTAGCACGAAACCCTGGTCCAGGGTTTCCTGTTGACTACCTCCAACCACCATCTAATCTCATTACATAGTGCCCGCAGTGTCGAGTCACCTAGACTGGTGGCCACATTGCAACATGATCGATAGCATTCGATCTGCACTAATAAGGACTAGACAAGCATGAGATTGATCACCACCCAGTGATCAATCAATTGTGATTACATCTCAGTCCTACAGGAGGTTAGTCACGGCTCGGATAGCTCAGTGGTAACGTCTCTGACTGTGAAGCTGGGTGACACGAGATCGAATCCGCCAGGGAGCACCAGTTCCCTCAAGATTACAGGTACACCTTGCTGACGAGTGCCAAGTAGCACGAAACCCGGGTCCAGGGTTTCCTGTTGACTACCTCCAACCACCATCTAATCTCACTACATAGTGCCCGCAGTGTCGAGTCACCTAGACTGGTGGCCACATTGCAACATGATCGATAGCATTCGATCTGCACTAATAAGGACTAGACAAGCATGAGATTGATCACCACCCAGTGATCAATCAATTGTGATTACATCTCAGTCCTACAGGAGGTTAGTCACGGCTCGGATAGCTCAGTGGTAACGTCTCTGACTGTGAAGCTGGGTGACACGAGATCGAATCCGCCAGGGAGCACCAGTTCCCTCAAGATTACAGGTACACCTTGCTGACGAGTGCCAAGTAACACGAAACCCTGGTCCAGGGTTTCCTGTGGACTACCTCCAACCACCATCCAATATATATACAAACATTATCAGATAAACATGCTTGAAATAATAATAACATCTGAAGGGGTTTTATGGATATTATAGTAATTTTAACAGTTGAGATCGCAGATGCGTACTGCTGAGGAGTTCCACAGTAGGACGAAACGGTCTTCCAGCGCTTCCAAGTTTTCCATGGTGATCTAGTTTCAATTGACTCATGATCTCAACCATTAATAATAATAATAATAGTTGCAATGATTCAATAGTTCATTCATTAAATCTTACTCTAATGATTCAATCAATTTTAAATTGGAATTGTTTAAAGTTTGTATTTGATTTTCAAAATTTTGACGAAACTCTTTCAATGCATGACGTACACATTGAGTATGAGATTCAGCAAAACTTTCTATACGTTTTCGTAATAATAATAATCTTGAAGTGTTTCCAAATGGTGGACAATAGGGAGAGCAAGAATAATCAAGTTTATCAATTAATTTTGATTGTTATTTATAATTAAAAACATTATTAATGAATAAAGAGGATTAGGTTAATATTATCAAATCCAATGGAAAATTTGTTATGATTAATAATGTAACCTAACACCACATGGAGCCCCTCTGAGGATACTGCTGATCCCAAGCCCAGATAAAGTCAGTCAGTCGGCTACAACGTAGGACCAGGCACATATGTACATCGGTCCAGGTTGCCATACCTCATTAGCACAGCAAGATGAACACCGGATTCATAGGAGTGGTTAGGTCAAAGGTGGTAATATATGGGAGAAAGATTGCAATAAGGATATAGTATACGAAGAAAGAATTAGTTCGTAGAAAGAAAGATATGAAGTGATTTTAATCTCTTAGTTTAAGGGAAGACAGGGAGTGTATACACCGACGCCATTGTGATCGATTCTGAGCCATGTCACCAAGAGTCTCCAACAATTGGTTACGAAATTCACGCGGACCGCAACCAAGTAGTCAGGTTCTACCAACATGGCTCAGACTAGAAGTTAGTGACTACAGGCACTGATGCCACGTTTTGGTTTGGCCGCCTCTAACTTTCTTCAAACCATCCCCAACACCGGTCAGCATTGCACGTCGCGGTAATCGGTGTTCAGGCATACGTAATACATGGCCCAACCATCTCAGTCGATGAAGATTCATAACCTCATCAACTGATTTACCATCATTCACTAATACCCTGCGTCTAACCTCACTATTATTTACCCGGTGATCCCATCACATGCCAGCAATATTTCTAAGGCATCTGTTGTCAAATACTAGTAGCTTACGGGTGTCTTCTACTCTTAAGGGCCATGTTTCGCTACCGTAAATTAAAACAGAACGAACTGCCGCGCTGATAAAGGAGAACGGTTGAGCATGGGGGTTAACGATACCATCTCGTAGAAAACTAACTCATTAAATAAAGTTTCGTTCTTTGATCTGGAGTTTATGCTGATGATTGTTTTGTTCAGACGAGCAATATAACCTCCACAACCAAACTATCCAACTCAAAGAGTGAAACTACAGCAAACAAAAACTAAAGGAATAGTCACTTCCGGAACTACTTTATGGACTATTCTGATTTATATTCTTATTCACAATTATTCAGCAACCAGATTATCATATTTTCATGACTCTATTCATCATAAACTGCTTTCATTTGACCCATTAATTATTATTATTATATTCCCCATCTATTAGCTTATAGCAACTATCTTACAACATATTTCGATTATGGCTAATTTTGGTTAAGACCTTTTATTAACTTACTTAACAGACTATGTCATTTGAATAGTAACAATTCACATATGTCCTTGTATCATTATGATCACTAGATCACATGATAAACTCCAGCTTAAGTGTTGAATGCTTAAATATCACTTCATGATTCATTCTCTTCCTCATGTATATGATCTCAAATCTTGTTATTAACCTTCGCCTTGCCTAGCTGCACCTTATTCGATTTAACTAGAAACTCACCTCTGTATTTGATCACACACACATATTCGCCGCTCTGCTTCAAATCCGTTCGATGTGCTCATAGTTTTGTGGTCTGAGATATCCGCTAATAAACTGTAGTTGCCTTTGCTCTTTGCCTTCTGATTTCAAACACCGTTGAGGTTTATATAATAACGGTTACGAGGGTGATTGGTTAACGAAGCAGAGCCACTACAAGTTAAAAACTCCCCTATTCATAGCCACTTTCAGTTTGATCTTGTAAAATTATTGTTTTTCATTTTACCATAATGATGTGGTCAGGTATGTCCATACATAAACCACGTACGATCTGAAATATAATATTCGTATAGTGGAGACTGATTACTCTATTCTGGACTCGACGATTATAGCAAGGAGATGACTTAGAAGGGAATCAAGGACACTAGTACTGGTTAATGTGTCATTGGTTAACTCAGGAGTGGTTTTATCAAATACTATTAGCCATAAGTCATGACACAATTGACACAGTTTAATTTCTATGAATTTCAATGTTTTCTTTAAAATCAAGACGTATACAATTGAACTGATTAGGGAAAAAGACCGGCCGTCGTTACTACCTTGCCGTGGTGGTAGGGCATGCCTATCGTAATGAACCAATAGAACTATACTGGCTGGAACAATCGTTCCTCAAGGTCCTATCATGCCAGACAGGTTGATTGAAGAACAGTAAAACTAAAAGCAACAAACCCAAGGTCCTAAGGCGAAGTCGTACTGCTGACTATACAGAGTTGTGATGGCAGTAAGGTGTTTCCTTCAGACAACCAGCATGACAACGATGCTGCCTTCCCACAAGGAGGGGTGGGTTTAGGAAAGGTTGACCCTAAAAATGCACACCTCACCTTATCCCACGGATATCCGTCTCCGGCGGTAAGGTCTCAAAAAATACGGAGCTAACATGAAAATTACTCACAAAAGGGTTGTATATGACTGATCTCAAGCAGTTGTCCCTTGAGCACTGCAGTCACACTCTCAGGTCACTAAGACCATCTTTAATCCAATTTCTTTTTCCTCTTCTGGGAAAAAGACCCAATTAATTATGATTGAATTTACTACTTACGTTGATGATTTTGTTGCTTTACTAATAGTTGAATCAATCGATTATTTAATTGCTTCATCCATTTGTTCTTCAGACTTATTTATTGTTTCAATTAAACTTTTTGTTGAATTAATTTTCATTTCATTTAATATTAAATTCACTGAGGTTATATGTCGTTCAATACGTGTTTGATGGAAAACTAATTCAGTTAATCTTACATTTGCTACATCCTATAAAGAATAAAAAAAGATAAAATATTCAATATAGGAAAAGATGATATCATGAATGAATCGATATTAGACACTATCATTTAAAACTTGGAAGCATTGGAGTGAAGTAGTTGAACGCGTCGACAATTTCACTTATCTTGGAAGTTTGATCAGGCCTAATGGATTGATGTCTGACGAAATCTCAGCACGGATTCGAAAATCTTGTTTGGCTTTTGCCAACTTACGTCATCTATGGCGAAGGCGAGATATCCGTCTATTAATTAATGGACGAGTATATTGAGCTGCAGTTCGCTCTGTTCTAATTTACGGCTACGAAACGTGGCCATTAAGAGTAGGAGATATTCATAAGCTACTAGTATTTGACCACAAATGTCTTAGAAATATTGCTCGCATCTGATGGGATCACCGGGCAAATAATAGTGAGGTTAGAAACAGGGTATTAGGGAATGATGATGGTAAATCAGTTGATGAGGTTGTGAATCTTCATCGACTGAGATGATTAGGTCATGTGTTACGCATGCTTGAACATCGATCAACACGACGCGTAATACTGACAAGTGTTAGAGATGGTTGGAAGAAAGTTAGGGGTGGTCAAACCACAATGTGGCATCAGTCATTGAAGTTACTAACTTCTAGTCTGAGACATGTTGGTAGATGCACACTACTTGGTTGGGGTCGGCGCGACTATTCTAACCAATGAGTGAAGACTCTGAGTGACATGGCTCAGAATCGATCACAATGGTGTAGGTGTATACACTCTTTGCCTTCTCTTAAATCATGAGATTAAAATTACTTTACACCTTTCTTTCTACGAACTAATTTTTCTTCCTGTACCATATCCTTATATGCAATCTTTCATTTATATATTACCACCAGTGAATTAACTACTTCTATGAATTTGATGTTTGTCTTGTGGTGGTAATGAGTGAGGTATTGCAACTTGGACCGATGCATATATGTGCCTGCTCGTACGTTGTAGCTGACTGACTGACTGGATGGTCGTTTCGTCCTAGTGTGGGACTCCTCAGTAATGCGCATCCATGATCCCTCACGTGGTTTTCAATGGTGGTCTAATATCGTTCCGTTTATTATTTCAAATAAAACTCGACAAACTTTACTACCTTATACTGATAAAAGTTGATAGGTCGATATCACCATTGAAAACGATTAATTCAATTGATAAATTTGAATAGTGCAATATAAGAAGATAAAGTTTATCAGAACAATGTGATGTTAGATTAGCGGAATACATTTCAAACAATCGGTCACACACATACTTGTTAACATCATTTATACAAGAAAGGTCAACTAGACAAATGAAAGGTGCAAAAGAAAACAAAGATGATAAAGAATATATTTGTGAAACTCACCACGCTGGATAATAAAACAATATTACCAAGGTAAGTTGATGGTGAGAACAAACTGTTTTTTGAACATATTGTAGTGGATGGTACTATGCCAAGCCTACATAGGTTATTCTAACCTATGGACAGACCAATCTATTCACTCTTCTCAAGCCATATTTTTACCCTGTCACTTATTTGCCAATTAACCCTGACTGCTTTTATGTGATCGTGTTTGTGTTAATTACTTACTGTTTTCATCATGTATCCGTAACTTTTACTTGTTTGAATATAAATATTGAGGCACACTTGATTAAATAGAGTTGGCTCAATCGTCTTCTCCACTACGCGTCATTTCGTTTCGTTTCGCTCTCTCCTCTTCGCATTATTCGCTTCGTTTCCCTGATTATCCGTTCAGATCAACGAGTGTACGTAAAATACGTAATCAAACTTCATTCTCGTATTTCACTTATTTTGTTCCATTATTCTCTAACACAAATCAAGTCGATAAATTATACATACGAGGGTTGGTGACATGTATATTTAGACAACAATCATCATACGATCTAATTGGGTCAGATATCAGGCCATTAAAATATAGAAAAGGTTTTCAATTTTCATAGGGTCAAATATACAATAAACCTTAGTATATACGCCATTAAAATATTTTTTTGTACAAAACCACAAAAGTTGAGGTAAGATCAATTTTATAGCCTGTTTCAACGATGTGTTTAGCAATAGGGGATGATGTATTTATATTTTCTACTCTTATTAAGTCATTTGATTTTATGTATATTTATAACCAATGGTCAGTATCTTATCGGCCTTGGTATTGTCTTAAGTCACAAGTGTTATAAATAGAGAACTTAACTTCACCCGATTGTACGAGTTAGTGGCTATCTAGACTCAGTAACTAAGTATATAACACGACGGCATTTGAAGCGAACTGCACTGGGTTCGAGTTTTGAGATGAAGATACATTTAGGCGATGAGTCACAAACAGGATGAAACGTGCGTTCTAGGTTCCACTGCTAGCCACCATCCATTTCGGTACATGTTTGCATAGTCCTGACGATCTTTATCTTCTTATAACACTATCTTAATCTCACTATTGTGTATAGCTGAGTATCAAAAACTAAATTGGAGTTCTATTTTAGTCAGTCAATAAGTCATTTGTGTTAAAACAAGACGAATATTGTAAAAGTTAAAACTTTCGGAACATGTTTTAGAATTAGTATCACTATTATTATTACTACTACTACTACATATTTTTGTTGATAACTTAGATGAACAGATCACCACAAGCTCTCAGTCGACTAATAGTATTTGAGTAAAAAGCCTTCGTCTTCGTATTATCTATTCCATTACTTACAATCTCTTTCTATATGTATATGGTTGTAAGCGATCATGAGGATATATTAAGCCTCCGTTTTGTGGTGATCAGCACTCAGTACTAAGTGTTATTTATAGCCTTTTAAAAAGTGACATTTTCTAAAAGATTCAGTCTCATGTCACTACTCAATACACGAGTAACCTGATTGTGACATTTCCATTTGTAACACCATTTCTAATTCATGTGTAACTTATGCATCAAATAGAATCATATCAAATCATGGGGCTAGTAAGACTTTGATGATCTTTCTACTTGTATGAAGATTAATAGTAATATCTAGTTGCCTAAACTAGAATAGGTATGACAGGATTCGAACACGAAACTTATTGGTTAGAAGCTGAGACTTTACACAACTTGATCAGAGCTAATTATCTGCATTGTATACAATCACAATGTGATGTGTGCTACTGATGTCGGCAGGTATAAGGAGTATATATCATCATTTGAAAGTGAAAGGCCTGGAGGCAGAAGATTAAGAAGATTAAAGAAAAGAGACGACCGAGAACAGAGAATGATTGATGTAGAAACGAAAGAACAATGAAGTCTAAGACGATTGATTGACATTTTACAAATGAATTATTTAATATATGGTTCTAATAAATTCGGTAATTTTGTATTTAAAAACGTTTGATTGTCCACACTTGCGTACACCACTACAACAGTACCTATTTCATTGGGAGATAAATATTGTCAGCTATACAGTTGGTAGTAGTGTGATGTGTGCTACTGATGTCGACAGATATAAGTAGTGTATATCACCAGTTGAATGTGAAATGCCTAGTGATAGAACGTTAAGAAGATTGAAGAAAAGCGAATGAGAACAGAGAATGATTAGTGTGGAAAGGAAAAAACAACGAAGTCTGAGACGATTGACTGACATTTTGCAAATAAAGTATTTACTATATATGGTCCTCAGATTTTACTAAGATACTCTTTAATTTCGTATTCGAACACATTCGATTGTCTCAACTTGTATTCTCGTTCACTACAATAGTCTATAGTGTAATAACACACCAAAATTGATACCTTAATTACCCCAGTTTAAAAAAAACTATACTACTCACAAACATTCGTAGAGTAGTCAATAAAGACGAAGTGGATAGAACACACATCGCTGAAATAATCAAAATGAACCACAAAGCAAGCCCTAACTTGGAATCATCATAGTGACTGGAAACGAAGCAGACTAAAGAACACAGTGCTCCAGAAATTGAGGCAGATGATTTTTATTATCCACCCGGCAATTTTTGAAAATTCTTTTTTAAAATCCCTCCACCCCACTGAAAATTTTTTTCCACCCCCAAATTACAATATTTTTCATTCCCTTTTTCGTCCAATGAAATGGCTAGTTTTAAAGTTCGTTTTAATTGGTTAGTTATGTCTTGAAAATTGTTATAAAATATCAGTACTTGTCGACGAAGTACATTTTAATCGTCATTATGGAGGAGAGTAACTTGTCAAGTACAAGCGCTGGTGTTTCTGACGTCACGGAAACGGAGGAAGTGTTTCTGACAACATTGTTTTTCGTTGCGTTCCCATCAGTTGAAGCGTTAAAGGCCGCTATCGCAACATTCGAAAGATCGACTTACAATCATTATGTAGTGAGAGATTCGCATACGGGCAGAGATCAGAATTCGTATATTAAATTTATGTGTTGGAGAAATGGGCGCATAAGGTCTAGCGGTTCGGCACAGACGATTAGACGGAGGAGGTAATTTGGTTAATGTAATTATAATTTTTTTCACGAAGGGCTTCCATGAACACGCAATGTCCGGCATTCGTGTTTTGTAAGATTATAGACGGGTACTGAACTGTTGTGCGTGGGAATGTGCATCACAATCACGAGTACAATTCCCTGAGGTACCAAAATAATTCGTGGATGCGCAGGTTAACGGATGCTGAGTTTGAAACTGTGCGGCCACTGCTCATATGTGGTACGGCTTCCTTCCACATTAAGAATTTCGCTTACCATTCTTATGGTAAACGTCTTAATGATCAAGATGTGTGTAATCTGCGGTACAAAGTGTTCTCACAGGCGAATTTATAATGTACACTGTAGGTGATTACGGGAAATTGAAAGCTCACATAATATCCTTGGGTGGGCTTTGCGATATCAAAAGATATGGACAGTACTTAAAAAAAAACTGTAAAGGGGAACTCAGGACAGAGTAGGTTGTAGAATCCTAGTCGGTGGCCTATGCTATTCAAAGGGTATCAGACATAAGTAAGTAAATCAGTAGGGATACTGATCGTGCTATTAATGTATAGAAAAACACATTTATTAGTTAATTTTCTTTTAAAAGTTGACTTACTTCTTTCACCCGACGAATACGTGGTTCATGCAGTTTGAGTTGCAGTTGATATTCAGTTTTTCTAACTATAACTTCCTCTTTTACGGCTAATATGGTTGTATTCTTCCATTGTTCCAAATATCCTAATATTTTCTATTACAAAAAAACACAAACAAAAATAATGGTCACTAGATTCGAGAGAAAATTTCCCGAGTTCTAGTGAGAAGACATGAATAGTGGAATTCGACCATGTCTGGTGTAAAGCAATTACCTGCCAAAAAACAATCGAAGATAGTCGCTGAATTTCAAGGGCTGATTGAAGTTAAACACTAGCACTAGCTGGTTTACTGGTCTGAACGTCAAGCGTTTGTGAATAGAACAGAAGGTCCCGGGTTAGACTACCACGTGCAGCGTCATGGATGTGCGATGCTGACAAAACCCATACTACGACAAAATGACCGTTCAGTGCTGTCAGGTTCTCAATGGTGTTCTAACAATGATCGGTTCATGATTTCAAGAAACAAACAAGTATAATATTTTTGCATTCCACGACTATAGAATGATGGGTGTATAATACTACGACTCGATACACTAAGCACAGGCTGGATCAAGTTATACACATACAGGATTTATGATCAAAAATTGGCAACCACATAATAGTTTACTTAACACAATTACTACTAGTTCATATAACGAATAGAATTCCGCTACGTTTAGCCATTCATATATCCATCAAACAAAAAGCTTACTCAATTAGCCAAGACTTTCTTAATAAACTAGAAACCAACCAATGGTTGAATATGTCATTTAACATTCTAAGGGATATATCTATAAACGTGCATATATTTCTCAGTTTGGTTTACCCAGAAAAGCTCCCTTCTCATTCAAGGAAGCCGTTTCGCTTGTTTTTAGGAAGCTTATATATCAATATCAGAATCAGAAACCACACAACACAAGTTCGCAATGAAATTGGAATACGAATCACTAGTAGAAAAGAATTCACGGCATTATATTATCACAATATTTAGTCAACTGAGTGTTTGTCTACGCTTGTTAGTCAATCACTTCTTATCTTCACTGATCCATATCAATATCATTGGGTAATTAGTAAAATAGACTATATGTATATGTACACATATTCTAACGGAAAAACTAGGGATTTGAGTTCATAGGGGCTTGATGCAAATTGATTTGAAGTTGTATTCCAACACAGTGACCTAAAAGTGTTGTACATGCCACTGGTTCTGTAGGTTATGCTTGTGACTATTATTGAAGAGTTCTATAAAATAAGACAAAATAGCTGTACACTTTGTTAGATCAGACTAAATAAATGGGACAGATGGAACTTTCAGAAGTATTCTACGTAGAAATTGATCGCTCCTTAAATAATCATTCATTTATTACGTCATTTTATATCCCTTATGGCTTTGCTGCACACAACTTATGATTTCTCATATTTAGTGTGTTATGGTCTGTTCACTATGTAAATCCAATAATACAAGGTAGATCTACTTGTTGACTTTGAATTGTGATTGATCACAGAGGGCAAATATGATGTATGAACAAATAGGTATTGAAGCCTTCGGCTATTTTTCACGATCACTGTGCTATTGGTCAGATTAGTATAAGGTGAATCACCAATAACCGGACAGTATAATCAGATGCCTTTGATTCAAGTGAACATATCGAAATTGCTTGACAAATGAATAAATTAGAATGGGGATTTGTGAAGATTGTAGTGATTTTAATAGTTGACTCCATGAGTCGATGTAAGCTAGACCATCATTGAGAACCTGGAAATATTGGACGACTATTTCGTCCAAGCATTGAACTCGTCAGCAGTGTGCGTCTACGATCCCGCATGCGAACGCCTAACCTATAAACTACTAAGCCTGCATCAGGTAGTGTCACTGTCTAAATTCAATCGATCCATGATCTTGCACAACAATTCACCCATTGTCTGAGGTAGACACTTATCTTTACCCGACAATTAAAATCACTACAATTCCCACAAATCTCCATTTTAATAATAATTATCATGTGCTCAATAGTGACTGGCTTCAAGATGGATTTCGTGGAGTTCTAGTGAGAAGCCATGACCAGTAGAGTCCAATCCGTGTTTGGTAGAGACAGGTATCTACCTCAGACAATTGAAGATAGTCGTGCATTATCGTGAACTGATTGAATTTAGACAATAACACCATAGGATGCCGGCTTAATGGTCTATAGGTTAAGTGTTCATGTGCGAGACCGATATATCCTGGATTTGAATCCCGTATGCGGGATCGTAGATACGCACTGATGAATAGTCCCATATTAGGACAAAACGTTCATTTAGTATTTCCAGATTTTTGTTAATGGTCTAATTTACAAATTTTTATTACTGACAAAGCTACACACCCATATTCACCCGATTACGGTTCATCCTGAATTTTAACCCACCAAGATACAATAGTGAATCTCCACCCCGGGATCAGGCACATTCCTGATCACTCTGAACCCCAGCGCCAAGTAAGTTATAACTTATCAATTCAACAAATAATTAAATCAGAAAGGGTTTTGTAGAGATTTTAGCAATTTCAACAGTTGAAATCACGGGTCAATTGAAGTTAGATCACTATGGAAAACCTGGAAACACTAGATGGCCGTTTCATCCTAATATGTGACTCCTCAGAAGTACGCATCCACGGTCCCGCCTCGAACTCAGAATGCCGGCTCAGTAGTCTAATGGTTAAGTGCTCGCGCGCGAAACTGATATGTCCTTGGTTCGAATCACGCGAGGCGGTGGGATCGTGGGTGCGTACTGCTGAAGTGTCCCATATTAAGACAAAACGATCTTCCAATACTTCCAGGTTTTCCACTGTGGTCTATCTTCAATTAACTCATGATTTCAATTATTGAAATGATGAAATCACATTTGTTTTTATACACTTACTATACGAACGATTGTTTTAACATGTTTGATTAGATTTAAACATTTTTCAATTTTAATTGGTTGAATATAATCGGTTACATAATTATTTACAGTAATTGGTTTATTTTCATTATTATTATTATTATTGATAATCAATAATTGAGTATCATTAGTTTTTGTATTCTCTGATTTTATTGATTTTTTAATGAATTTAATTGATAAATTATTATTGATTTCATTCAAATGATTCATTTCATTACCAGTGATAATACCGGTTAATTGAATATTTTTAATTAAATAATCAATAAATATATTCAATGTAGAATTAGATTTCATTTCTGATTGTAAAAATTTAATTAAATCATCCATAGCAATATCATGATGTTTTATATAATAGAAAATATGATTGAATTTAGAAACATTTCCATCGAATTGTTGTTGTTGTTGTGGCGGTGATGGTGATGGTGGTGGTTGTGGTGATGGTTGTTGCTGTGGTGGTAATGGTGATGGTGGTTGTGGTTGTTGTTGTTGTTGTTGTATACAAATATATTTTTCAAATCCAAGTGTAACTATGTTATTGATTGGTGTTTGACGATTTATTCTTTTCTAGAATGAATAAGAAACAAAAAAAGAGAAACAAAGGGATTATGAGCTAATTTACCAAAATAGCCTAATATCATTTTGTGGTGTGTGTGTGTGTGTGTGTGTTATCGATGTCGATAGATATAAGTAGTATGTAGTAGTAGTATTAGTAACCAAATAGAAAGTACCTTTTATAAAATCGTCCATCCTGTTCAGCAACACTGTTGCAACAATTTTCGTGATACTGACAGTAGTGTGATGCCTGTGTAGTTCTCACATTGCTCAGATCTCCTTTCTTTGGTATCTTGATGAAGTGTCCTTCTTTCCAGTATGTTTATGGCCCTTGTTCTTCCTCCTAAATCTTCTTGAATCGAGTATGAAACATGTTTGCAGTCGCTTCTATATCTGCCTTCAGTGCTTCAGTTGATATATTGTCAGGAACTGTTGCTTTCCCATTCTTGATTTGTCTGATGGCCATCCTGATTTCTTCTATCATTGGTTGACTAAAATCTTTAAGAAGGTCTGTGTGTGCTGCTTCGATGTCCGGTGGGTTTTTAAAGAGTTCCTCAAAGTGTTTTGCTCATCTGTTCCTCTGTTCTTGAGTCTCAGTGATTGTCTTGCTTTCCATATCCTCGAGTCTATAAAAATGTCATGATCATTATTTTCATTATAGTAGATTGTCGGTGTTGCATTTTGATATTTACCCCCATGATTTTTATATCAGTTCTTAGCCAATCGGAAAGCATCTTTTATAAAATGTGTAGTTTATTAAAACGAAAATAATAATATTACCAAGTGTTAACAAATTGTACATATTTGATAAATCTACAATAGTCTTCTTCAAAAGAAAAGAAAGGTATCAACTCATCCCAATGAATATAAATTGTCCATATTCTGGAATTCTTAAAGAGGGTTCAATGAGATCTCTAAATATCCATTAATGAATTAAACATTAAGAGTTTTTTTTCAGTTGACATTTTAATCACCAATTGATATCAGGTACAATATGCAAAGATCATTTTACTGCTTTGTTGAATTTTACGCGGAAATCGAACAGTCACATTCTCGATCCTGATTATGATGCTGTAGTGTATGCTATTGATGCCGACAGATATAGGTAGTATGTATCAACAATTCAAAGTGAAATGCATGACGGCAGAAGGTTAAGAACATTGAAGAAAAAAGAACCAGAACAGGGAACGATTAGTGTTAAAACAAAAGAACAATCAAGTCTGAGACGATTGATGAATATTTTGCATATAAACTATTTACTATCTGCTTCTTAGATTTTTGTATTCAGATACATTCGATTGTCCCCTGCCTATGTTCTCATTCTCTAAAGTATCAGGGACAGTACACAAAAAAACTTTAGAAACAAAGCATATAATTCTGGAAACAGATATGAATTCCAGAAATAGAAAATTTCTAGCAGTAGACATCAACTTCATTTCTCCAATTAAAAGTCATATTACCTGATTTCAAAGCCGGTGAAGACTAGGTACTATCCATCTATCAATATAGCTCATATAAATGGAATGATATCATATCTTGATCTATTCGTCTTTATGAATATATTATTATCAATGTATATGTAGTGAACGAGAACTCAAATGGGGAAGATCAATCCAAACACTACAGAGTAGCTTTATAAAATATGAAAATCATGCATTGTTTACATATCTTCCTATGGTTTATGCTTTCTATTGTTGTTACAATTGCTCTCTGCTTCCTCTTCTATTCTTTTCAATTCAATCTTCTACTGACAAGCATTCAAATTCCGATCACCGTTACATACTACTTATATTAACTAGTATAGGGGTTGTGGGATGCGCACTGCTGAGGAGTCCCATAAACGGCCGTCCAGTGCTTCCAGGTTTCCAAAGATGGTTTAACATCAATCAGTTAATGATCTCAATCAAAAACTTAATCATCTCCACAACCCCTCTACTAGTAATTAACATGTGTTCACTAGTGACTAGCTTCGTGAGGGAATTCTCAGAGTTCTAGTGAGAAGCCATGACCAGTGGAGCTGATCCATCTCGGGTAAAGACAGGTATCTACCTCAGTACAGTGGAAGACGGTCGCGCAATTTCGTGGACTAGTTAATTTTAGACACTTTCACCATTGGATGCCGGCTTAGTGGTCCAGTAGGCTAAGCGTTCGCGTGCGAGACCGACGGCCCTGGGTTCGAATCCCGCAAGCGGGATCGTGGATGCGCACTACTTATATTTGTTAGCATAAGTAGTATGCATTACATAAATATAAATAATTGAATATTATCAATAAAGAAAATAATAATAATAATAATAATAATAACTAATAATACTTACTTCCAAATGTAAAGATTGTTGTTTTGTACAATGGGTTACACCGAAAAATCGGCAAATAGCAGTTTCGCATAAATCGATAACCGTGGTTATTTGTTTTACATATGTATCTATAAATTGTAATTGTTTATCATACAGTGATTTGTAACTTTATACATTCGGGAAAAAAACAGAAAGAAAGAAAGAAAGAAGTATTCAATTATTAAAGGGTTCTGTGTAATCATCTATACATGATGTATTACTATTATTGTATACTTAAATTAACTGTAATTATGTGTTCTGTTTAATTTGGCTGGTGTTAATGAAGAGTGCTGATGGATGGTCTATGCTCCTCCACGAGGGGTAACAGGCGTTAATAAGTAAGTAAAAAAGTCATTATGTGTTCTACCATTCTTAAATTATCGTTCATTAACTATGAACCTATCGGCCACTTACAGTTTGATTGTATACATGTTATGATCTCTAATTTGTGGTTTATTATAATCAAGAATCCAGTAAATATAATCCCTATGAGTTTTTGAGTCAAAAGCAGTAGAAATAAAATGAGACCAATAAATAGTTAAGTTTTTTTTTATTATTGTCACCGTCTTTTGATTGGATCTTTGGGTAAGAGTACCCCTTGGATTAAAAGACGTTAAAATCTCGGTCATTATTTATGGTGTAACTAATCAAGCGTAGATTGTTGTTTTGATTTGGACAAAGTAAACATGTCACAGTGGAGTTTATAATGAATTGATTCAATAATGCAGGTAAATCATTTAACGTTGAAGATTGAGAAGCTGGATGATGAAAGTTTATATCCGATAGGAAACATCACTTCCCTCAAAATTACAGGTATGTCTTTCTGACAAGTTCTAAGTAGCGTGAAATCTAGATCAAGTAAAGTTTCCTGTTAACTACATTCAACCACCTTACGTTCATAAATGTATAAACATTACCTAATTTCTAGATTTGTCATTAATTGAGAAGTAATAGGTTAGTAGTGCAAAATATCTACTCTTAACTATGTTAAAATGGAATGAGCAATTCAAAATGTGAAATAGTGAAATGTATCTTATCTAAGGATTCAGTTTATATTGTTTTAATTTGTATCAATGAAGTAATTTGTTTTGGTGTTTTTATATTGGCTGAACTATGTCGTTTTATTGGGCGTTCTAGAAAGGATTCAGGTGGGATTTCATTTAAGTACATTGAACATTTATTTGGTGATATTTAAACGAATCACTATTCTAATTCATTTTTAGGAGTTTAAATCTGTCCGTTGTTAATTTTAAGGACTGAAACAAGGATATCTGTGTATCCTGACTAATTGTCTCGATTTAGTCATCTTGACTAGTGTTGGGGATAGTTGGAAGAAAGTTAGGAGTGGCCAAACTGACCAAAACGTGGAATCAGTTCTTGAAGTCACTAACTTCTGGTCTGAGCCATGTTAGTAGATTCAGACTACTTGGTTGGAGTTCACGCGACTATTTTAATCAATGGTAGGAAACTAAAGGTGATATGACTCAGAATCGATCACAATGGCGTCAGTGTATGCACTCTCTGTCTTCCCTTAAATCGTGAGACTAAAATTACTTTGTGTCTTATTTTTTACGAATTGATTCTTTCTTACTGTATCGTATCCTTGTACAAAATGTCTTTTTATACTACCACTGAAGTAAATACTTCAAATAATTCACTGTTCATCTTGTGCTAATGAGGTGTGGCAACTTGGACCGATGCATATATATGCCTGATCCTACATTGTAGCTGACTGACTGAGTCATCTTGCAACAAGTTGTTTAAGAATAGATTAATTGTGGGTGAAAGTAGAATTCAGGACCAGCATTTCACCCGGTACGGCCGAGGGTGGGGAGAGTCGGCTCTCTCTGTCTAAGTGCTCTCACATGGCCACGTGCATGTAGCCACTACAAGGTAAGAACCACCCATTACCTTCTCGCACTACGGGTGTTGTTTACGATATTAAGAGGAAGAAAAGCGAATGTCAGGAGCTTCTACCCGGCTGGTAGATATGGAGGACCATTTAAGGGAGTCGAAAAACCCTCATTCCAAATCAATAGTTCACATTGGCTCCAGGATCCTGAGGGAACAAATGACGTACGAACCTACTGTTGAAAACTGGCTAACATGGGTCAATTAAAGTTAGACCACCATTGAAAACCTGAAAGCACTGGACGGCCATTTCGTCCTAGTATGAGACTCAGCAATGCGCATCCACGATACCGCCTCATGAAATTCGAATCCAGGACCTATAGGTCTCTCAAGCGAACGTTCAACCTCTAGACCACTGAGCCGTTCGGTATCCAACAGTGTCGATGTCTAACTTCATCCAATCCATTAAATTGCACCGTCGCTGTGGATACACATTGCTGAGAGCAGTCTCATACAAGATTTTTCATAGTGATCCAGCTTTAATTGACTCATGAATTCAACTTTTAAAATTAATATAATATCCACAAAATCCCTCTATGATTGTTATCATCATATGCTCAGTAACGACGGTTTCCAAGAGGTATTTCCTGGAGTTCTAGTGAGAAGCATTGATCAGTGAAGTTCAATTGGGTCTGTTGTGAGACATTAACTCACTGAATACAGTGATGGATGTGTGGTGGTCGGTATTCGATATAATCCTCAAACTTCGTATACAGTTCGTCGTGATAACCGTTCTATATAACGTCCCAACGGTATATTAATCAG